TTCAGCGGTGTGTGACGGTATCATGAATCACTCGGATAAACAATGAACTGGTCTCTTTTTCCACAGCCTCTGAGTATAGGCTTTTAATACTCTAAGTTGTTTTATTATGTATGTTGTGTTCTTGTACAGCACTTTGGTCAACGCTCCTGTTGTAATTAAATGTGCTATATAAATAATTAAAATATTAAACTATTATTAAACTATAGCTGCATCACAGCAAATACAAATTGGATTTCATGCCTAAATCTTCTCAAATCCACAGGAGACTGAGATGTTTAAATTGATTAAATGTGCATCAGATAGGCTACAGCCTTTTTAGGCTTATAATAGAAATAGATGAAAAATAGAGGAATTCTTGTTAACTGACCTTTGGCTGATCTCTGCTTAAGGGACATGTCAATAAAACAAAAGATATAAATTTGTAACTATCTAACTTTAACATCTTTCAAATTATTTTAAATAAGATGAATGGCAGCTTTAAAAAATGTTTATTATTATCGAAACATTATTATTTTCTTGTTATGACCATGCTATAAATATCCTAAAATTAAGAAGAGTGAAAAGTGCAAAATAAACGAAGTTGTTATTTTATCCAGCTAAATAAATGTAACAGTAACTAGCCTGTTGCAGCATGACACGACAACGCTGTAATATTAAAAGCTGTATTGTGTTGCTTTGAATGGTTAAACCCCTTTTCAGTTATAAAAAGTGTACACAGAAACTAAGGCCATGCATTATCTTACAGTATACAATTACACCAGGGATTATAACATCTAGTCCTTTTACTGAATATTCTGTGAAAAAAGTATCCTTTGGCATTGCTATAGCAACGCCATGCGTTTATGTTCCTGGATGTGCACTACACAAGCTCAGACATGTCTGAGAGCAAGAGCAAGATGTCAGACATGGTAAAGGTAATAGCTCCTGGTAATCAAAGGAACTATTTCGACAACGTGCGGCCCAACAGTAAACAAAGCTCCACTGGTTAAAAAACTCGACCCAAAATACAACAACCCAGGTAGAAATAAGTTAAGTTACTTTGGTTAAAGTGTTAAGCATTGATGTTATACTATTATTTTTAATTTCTGGGGAAAACACCTAGGCTACTTTCCTGCTGTGTCACTGCTACTTCACTGTAATGGTGCTGGCACCTTTTTTCAACAGATTCACACTTTGTATTAGTAAATGCCATCAGTGACAGATGCTGACTGGAAAAGAAGGATGCAAAATACTCAGGTTAGACTTGTGAATGCTGCTGCCTGTAATCTGAAAGCATCAATAAAACATTGTTCAGTATTTTTTTATTCTATTCTATATCGTTAGCAATATAGTCAACCCTAATATTTTTGAAATATGGTGATGTCATTTTTGGGGGCTATATTGCCCAAGCCTGAGAGAAACTAAAGCCAGCGCGGAAATGTGTGAAACCTGCATTCTTTCTTAGTGTCCAGCAGAGGGCGACTGCTCTGTCTGCACATTATAAAGAAAACAACAACAACAAAACCTTTTTAAATTATCTAGCTGATTAGACAGTTTAGTTTCAGTTGTTAGTTTCATGCCTTACTACAGTATCATGTTAATTTGTAAATTATTGTATTGTGCAGCATAAAATAAAGACAATAAATCAGGGTCTAATTTGAGGTTTAGCAACCTTGTGTTTGATGAGTTGCCTTTGAGCCTGCAGTGTCCTCTGTTTTTTTCTTTTTTTTTGGCTGCAGAACCATAATAGAAAAGAAAAAAATGAGATGGTGAAAGCCAAATTGCCAAACTTGAAGCTTCAAAGGAAGAGTCCACAAGAACAGCTGATAGTGGTTATGCCTAGTTGTGTGTATTTGTTGCAGGAATAGTTGTACTTGGACTTGTGTTTGTCTCCTTCTCATAAAAGAAGGATCTCTCATGAGATGTTTGGCTGTGGGAAATAGAGGGCTCTTAAGCACCTAGCTCCCCCATCAGATTGTCAGAGCTAACTAAAAGCGTAAAACTGTGGCAATAACGCTAAAATAATGAGATGACAGATTTCTAATTAATTAACTAACCTTAGCCTAACTGCAGAGGTGTTTGTTTGTAGCCAATATGTGAAGCCTCTTCACAAAGACCTCTTCAGCAAGAGCACAAACATATTGCATCAAAATTATAATAATAGAAGACTGATACACACATAGCATGTCTAACAGCTACAGATGGGGAAACTGTTAAGTTTGGATCCAAAGTGAACTACAGTGATCTTAAAACAAGCTTAAAATAGCCAAAGCTGTGGGGAAACTCAGACCAGAGGGAGGAGGGATTAGGAAAAACACTCGACTGTGTCGGTAACTGAGCAATGGAAAACCGGCCAGCCACTTGGGGAAAACCGTCCACTGCTCTGCACTCTTTCTGTGCTTTCCTGTCTGTCTGTATGCAGTGAGTTATCTCTCGTTTCCCAAGATTGCTTGAAGTAATTTGAAATCTCACCCCACATCTTTCCGTGGCCTTGCACTCCAAATCATCCAGCTGAGCCATCCCTGACATCTGAAGATTTACGGGAACACATCAAGGCTAAAGTTGAAGGCTATTACCACCTAACGTTTGACCCCATGTCACAAGCTAATCCCTACCCCACTTCTTTCTCATCTGCCTCAGGGTGGTTGTCAGTTTTTTGTTTTCTTTTTTAACTTTGAGCTTGCTTTGATTGGAACAGTTAGCCAGAGATATAAACAGACTAATATAAACGGGCAGTGTGTGCGTAGGCCATCGTAAGCATCGTCTGTGTATCTGGTGAGTCAGTGCACATTGAAAATGTTTAGTTAGGCGAGCATTCAGTTTTTATACTCGTGTTTTGATGGAGAATATGTAAATTAGGCTATTTTTGGATTTATTATCAAGTTTTTTTTCTATTGTTGCTGTATTGTCTTTAAATTTCATGATGCCCAGAATACTAAATGTGTGCAATTTAGTTCACAATAGTCTACCATCTAACCTGGGAAACAAATTTAAAACGAAAACAACTGCTACTGTAGAAATGTGTATTCCATTTTTATTTTCTATCTGTCAATTTTTAATTCCAATATACACATTTCATTTAGTGAGAAAATAACTGTATTTTCAGGTATGTGTACCTAAAACATATATATTTTCCAGCTGAAAGTGACTCACAAGATTAATAACGCAGTTCTTAATCAGTTTGATGGAATATTTGGTCACGTCTAAATAAGCAGTGCAGCATCTTTTTAAAGATGTAAAGCTTTGTCTTTTGTGAATGAAAGCTGGGTGACTTCACTGGACTCTCCTGCATGAATGTCATACAGTGGACCTTGCTGAGCTATTCATAGCAGCACTATGGTCTGAATATAGCTTTGCTTGCCGGTTTGTTCGTCTAGGTCAGCATTTGAAAAGCCTCAATTACAGAAACTGGAGCATGCTGCTAATGCAGTTACAGTCACAGGTCAAATTTAGGCTGTCTCATGAGATGAAAAGTGGTTTGGTTTATAACTTGGAAGACAGTATGTTGCCACAGGAACTGGCTGATGATTCATTCAGGTATAAGAGGCTCGTATATGTGAATAATATAATATCATACTAATAGAGCTAAATACATACAATCCTAACTGTAAAAAACTTGGGACACTGTGGAAATTGTAAATAAAAATCTAGGAACTGATGAGGTGAGCAGTTGCTCAACTTTTTAGAGACAAATGTTGTCTGATTTTTGTGTGATATCGGACTCTAACTGCTTAACGGTCCTTTGCTTGATTTTCTTTGCGGTATTTTTTTTTTCCAGTTGGTAAAAGGTCTGGCCTGCAGGTGGGCCAGTTCAGCTCCTAGAGCAGGGGTGGGCAATCTCAGTCCACGAGGGCCGGTGTCCCTGCAGGTTTTAGATGTGTCCTCGAACCAACACAGCCGATTTAAATGGCTAAATTAGCTCCTCAATGTGTCCTGAAGTTCTCCAGAGGCCTGGTAATGAACTAATCATGTGATTCAGGTGTGTTGACCCAAGGTGAGATCTAAAACCTGCAGGGACACGGGCCCTCGTGGACTGAGATTGCCCACCCCTGTCCTAGAGTCTTCTATTACAAAGCCCTGTTGTTTATCGGGTTGTCTAGCGTTGTCTTGCTGTAATATAATAAGTAATGTAACAAGATTGTCACTGAAAAAAGACGTCTTCTGGATGAGGGCACATGTTCCTCTAAAATGGTGCTAAGATGGTGCCTCTCCAGATGTGCAAACTTCCAGTTCTATAGTTACACCCACGCAGACTTTTGAACTAAGCACTGTTAACAAGCCAGGTGCTCCCTCTGTTCTTTAGTCTAGAGCAGGCCTCGAGGGCCGATGTCCTGCAGGTTTTAGATGTGTCCTTGAGCCAACACAGCTGATTTAAATGGCTAAATTACCTGCTCAACATGTCATGAAGTTTTCCATAGGCCTGGAAATGGATGAATCGTTTGATTCAGGTGTGTTGACCCAGGGTGATACCTAAAACCTGCAGGACACCGGCCCTTGAGGCCTGGAGTCTCCCACCCCTGGTCTAGAGGATGTGGTATCCATGTTCTCAACCCAGCTGGTCGCGACACAGGTCCACCCCTCCCTGAGACTGGTTCTGCTGCAGGTTTTTTCCTGTTAAAAGGGAGTTTTTCCTTTGGACTATTGCCAAAGTGCTTGATCATAGGGGTTATTTTGTCTGTATGTATTACTGTAGGGTCTGCTTTAGGGGAATGTTGTTGTGATTTGGTGCTGTATGAATAAAAATGAATTGAACTGAAAAAAGAATTTTCATTTTAGAATTCCATTAATTTAATAAATTCACTGTTCTGTGGTCAGATTCATCCGATAGCTTTCCACTCTGCTTCATCCCATTTTAAATGTGCTTTGGCTCAAAGGTGTTTATGGATCATGATCACATATGGCTTCTTCTTTGCATGATGGAGCTTCAACTGCCTTTCTGGATGGTACACTGAACTGTTGTTCCTGAGCCCATGCAGTTATTGCCATGACAGAATCACGCCTATTTTTAATGCTGTGTTGCCTAAGGGCACAAGGATAACAGGCATCCAATGCTGATTTTCAGCCTTGTTGTTTGCACACAGAGAATTTTCCAGAATATTTAAATCTTTTGATGATGTTATGTAAAGTAGATATGATGAGATATTCAGTGTCATCACAATTTTACATTGAGGAACATTATTCTGAAATTGTTCCACAATCTGTAGATGCAGTTTTTTGCCTCTCTGAAATGCCCAATCATGTAACTGATTGCTGTTTTTGCTTTTTAGTTACGTATTTACACTCTTTTTGCAGACTTTCATTGTCCTGCCCCAACATTTTTGAGACATGTTGCTGCCGTCAAATTCAAAATGAGCTAATATTTTTCATGCAATAGTAAAAAGTCTCAGTTTAAAGATTTGTTATGTTTTCTTTGTGGTATTGTGAATAAAATTTGTATCTATAAGATCTGCAAATGATTGCATTCTGGATTGGGGTGTAAATAAATTATGCAGATATACAGCACTTAAAACATTTTTTATTTCTACTCATGTGTTAAGTAACATAAAATCACATGTCAGCATTGAGAGGCACACTTTCCCCACACTTTTGTATTTCCAGCAATTTTTTTTATAAGATTCAAAGAAATGGCATCATAGTTTTATGATCAGATGTGTTTAACATAATGAGTAACGTGTTACAAATTACAAAAGCGTAAGATCAATGTTACAAAATAATCCCTTTTAGAAAAATGTTTCTCTTTCATGTAACATTATCTTTTACTTCTTATGTTTTAGAGAGATTTTCCAGCACAATTAGTAACTTTTCTTGTTACAGTAACTGGGCACCATTTTAAGAGGTATTAACCGCTCTACAGCAATAACAAAAGACAGACAAACTTAGAAGATAAACTCACATCATGTGCAAGCACAGACCTAAGCACGTAACATACATCAGAGCTCTAGACTAAACTAAAACATAGTTTGCATACATATGAACTTAAAACTGCAAGTGAAGTGTACATTCATTTTAAAGACATTCACGGTCACGTAATGAATTTATTGCCCTGAAACAAGATTGTCATGTTTGTCCCATAAGTAGGACAATACAGTGTAGTTAGATTGACATCTTAAGGGGAACTCTCTCCTGATTAGTCTTGCTTGGCTCTTTGGGGTTCTGGTAGGACAGTCTCACAAATACAACAATGAGGATCACTCCTGGAAGGACAAAAAATCAACACTGCATTTACATCACAGTTTTATTGCTAATTTAGATGCAACTCCAAGATCTCTCAAAGATGATTAAATCCTACTTTTCTAGATTTTATAATAAGGCATATATTACATTCCCACTTATTTTTAAATAGACTTTAATAGTAATCAAACAGCTTTTGTCCTGCTTACCTATGACTGCAAAGGTGCCAAGCAAAATGCCGACTGCAGACTGTATAGTTGGCATGCCCTCCAGCTGCTTGGCAGCCATTTTGCAGTTTCCTCTGACATTGCAGGGGCACACAGTCACTAACAGGAGAGATAGCAAACACACAACTCCCAAATCAGGGATTTTTAACACATCAAAACAGGGTTTGATTCAGGATTGATGTGTCGTCTTGTGATTCCTTGAGAAAATTTAGGTTATGCATAACGTTTTTACTATAAATACAAATACTGGATGTTATAACCAGTGGATTTAGATAGTCAAATATCAAGCAAGGAATCACATATGGCAACTACATTCATTAAAAATAGTGCAGGTGTATTAATGTAATATCTTCATAGGGATTTAAAGGCTCATTTTCAGCAACCATTACTCAAGTTTCTAATCCCGACCTATCATATTTAAAGGCTGACTGGCCATTTGAGAAAGAAAATAACTATGTTAGCACATATTGAAGATGCAGTAAATTTATCTAGTTGCTTGTGAGGAGCATAAAGTTTTGGAGTCACTTGATAATTTCAACACAACCCATTATAAACCAAATTTTCTTCTCCAGTTATATTGTGTGTGAAAACGAAAGATTTCACAGGTCTCCATGTAGTCCTGTGGGGAAAGAAATTATTCAACAGCTTGTAGAATCACAGCAGCAATAACTTGAAGTAACCATTTTCTGTATGACTTTAACAGTCTCTCGCATTGCTACACATATTATGTACAGTATTTCAGTTGGGTTACAGTCTGGACTTGGGTCACAAGACAAGTGCTTGGGATCACTGTCTTGTGACCAAGTTTTAGTCACATATGACCCTAGAATGCTCCATCTGTTGTGAAGCCCCTGGTCCTCCTCTGCCAACCTGCCATTTCCTCTCTGTTGTGTCCTGTTTTTTCTCCCTCTCTCTCCTTTCTGTGTGTATTGTGTGTATGGCTTAACTCTATCAGTTTGTTTTAGAGGGGAGGCTCTGCCGTGCTTCCCTCCTCTGTATGCAACTGGCTGTTGCTTTCCTAATACTCAAGGCTGAAGAAATCCCTCAGTCATTGCCAAATCATTGCGCTTACCATGGTGTTTGACTCTTTTGGTCGTCCCTTGTGCAGATGCTCCCAGTCCTGAGACTCCCTGTGATGAGCCTCGAGTGGTTTTTACCCACGAGGAGAAATCTGTGGCTATCTTTGTTTGCCCCTCCACCAGCTCAACTCAGACATAACTACCTTGCATAAATCCCTGTTTACTTGGAAACCAGCAATAATCCTGCTGAACTTTTACCTTTCTGTTTGAGTCCAGGTCTGAGTCTGAGCCTTGACATCATCATCCCTCCACCACTTTGCTAGACAGTTGGTATGAGATTTTTGTGCTGATATGCTCTACTTGGTGTTTGCCAAATGTGGCACTGTGCATTATGGCCAAACAGCTTCACTTTGGGCTCATTTCTCCAAAGTACACAGTTCCATAAGTCTTGGAGTTTACTCAAACGAAGTGCTGCAAACATAAGCTGAGCTATGTTCTTTTTAGAGATAAGAGGCTTTCTCCCAGCAACCTTCCAAATGAGCCATACATGTTCAGTTTATTTCGAATTGTACTGTCATGAACATCAATATTTAGAAGAGTTTTAGCTCTTGTGTTTTTTTTGGAGTTTCTCATAACATTGCACAGTCTGACCATGGGAGGAATTTGCTGGTACGTGTGTGTCATTGTATTAACACACATGTAATCTCTCCAGACCAGCAAGCAGGCAAAACCTGTGCTTTTATAACGGTGCGCAGATGTGTTGATGATCAGTTAAGTGCATTTGAGTAGCAGCACTATGGAGATGTACTTAGCTTTCCACAGTACTGCATAGGCTCATGTGAAAAATTTCTTTTTCATGTGACTGTAGTTTATCCTAACCAGTGTGCAAGATGTGTGATGTTGTGTTATGAAATGTCAGAATGGTTATATTAGGCAGAACACAATCTTAAGAGAGCTGTGTAATCACCAGCCTGGAAAAATCATTTGTAAAGCACCATTGCATCATTAATAAACAAGAGCAGCGCTAGGACAAGCTGGCACACTGGGGTTGATCTCTATTGATTGTTCCAGCACTCTTGTCCCAGAACCTCTATGTACTCGCTTTAGCTTATCAGCAGAGGTGTCAGCATTACCTGGCAAGTGTATGAAGGTGCTCCTGGGAGGAGAGCTGCTGTCAGAGATGGTGAAGGGCACGATGTAGACGTCAGGGGGCAGGTATGGGATATTTAAGGACAGGTTGGTGTGAGTATCTGAAGGACAAAACACTTGTTAGTTGGTGCAGAAAAGTGATAGAGACTGTTTTATAAATCACATTTATGATGACTTAACAAAATAACAAATGAACCTGGTAATTGTCAGCTGTGAAAATCTGTTCAATTTAAAAGCCTTATTTTTCTGTTGCATCCAAAAGTGGTCAACAACAACTATTTTTATGAAAAAAATGATCACATACAACAAGTATACAAGTACTTTTTAAGTTCTAATAACCGAAGGAAGAAAAACCCAGGCCAAACACATCCATACAACTGTATGAATAAAGAGCAAGCAGAAAGACTCTGATGGGGCTCTGTATGGAGTGGTCTGGAGCCTGTGACTCTTTATCTTATCTCTGTAAATCAGGCTAAAACACAAGCCTGGCTGCATGACGTAAGAACCCTGTCCTGTAAAGAGAAGCATTATTATCAAGCTGTTTGAACTCTTATCTGATAGTCTTAAACTGTCCGATTGCACCTTAGCATCATCCCCCTTCATGTTCCATTTGTCAGGTAGGGAAACATGACCTGTGCAGCACCTCTGCAGAGGCTGTTAATGTCGATCTATTTATCCTCTGCCTGCACTGTGTCAAATCTGACGTGACATTTTATAAGTTCGAAGTGTGACCAGCCACCTACCCCAACCAGAGCTATTCTGAAAGCTTGTGATGAAAAGGCATTTCCCCTTACAGCTATGAACAGCCATTAAGAGCATGCGAAAAAGGAACATGAACATGCCGTTTGATTAACTGAATGTCTTCGGTGAAAAGAACTGTCACTCAGCTTCCCAAAAGACTTGAGATGAATGGCTGTACTACTCATGCACACACAGATCTGCTCTTTCATTCAATGGAGGTTGATGTAATTGTAATTTAAAAGAAAATAAAAAAATAGACAAGTTTGCTGCAAAATCAGACAGACAAAAGCGCACATTTATTGCTAAAACCATTACTGACTATGACCAGGTGCAAAGCATTCTGGGAAATTCCTATTTTAGGCTCCATTAGTTGGCAGGAAACCAGCGGTGACGTGAAAGAAATTACAGACAAGATATAATTACAGCTGGGCTCAATCAATACCAACAGGAACAGGGGAGTGAAAAGGCTAAAAAAAAAAAAACTGAGAGGGAAGCGGTTGAGCTGTGTGAATGACTTAATGACAGACGTCATTGCAGTAAATAGTTTGTATTCAGTGAGCACAACACAAGCAGTTACAAAAAAAAAAGGATAATTATAATATATTATACCTAGCATCTCATATAGGACTGGAGATGTTTTTCAGGAAGAAAATAAATCAGGGCATTTTGCACATCTCTACTCTTGATGGCAATTCACTGATTTTGATTCATGTAAGAAAAATAATGCAAAACATTTGGCACACTGTGGAAAATTAGATGTCCACTGGCTGTATTCAAAATTCGATTTATCCCCTTCACAAGATCCATTTGGCTGGAAGGCAATAACTTGTCCTCTCCAACAAATTAACTTTCTTATGCTCGACATTAATCAGAGCAGATTATCAATTTACACAGACAAGAAAGACACACCATTCACGTACACCTTCACAAACTGCCTGATAGGGTCTAATTTTTCCATGTTACAGAACTCAGGTCAGCAGCTTTGGCTCACATCGTCTACTGTTACTAGATAGAGCTTTTTCAAGGCTGGTAATCTGACTTGTTACTTTTGGAAAGGGGGTTTAGTGGTGATTCGTTTCACTTAGTGAAGACTCTTTTCAGTTATGATTTGTGGGCCTACTTGAGCACACTGTTACATCCACTCTGGCTCACTTTCAGACCATGTTGGCAACCAAAATCATCTGACTTCACCTTTCTGAAAAAAAAAGATAACAGAACAACTTTCAGTCCAAGTTTGGAAGGTAGAAAAAAACTATTTAAATTTTTTTGAGTATTTTTGGTTACATACAATTTATCAGAAGCCGCTTAGGGGAGTTTCTTCTAGCAGTAGTACATTATTTATTCCGCCTGTCTTTTCACTGTGAATCACATTGTATGCTATGCGTTGACTGGACCTTTACCCAGTTTATGTTCACCCTACCATTAATAGGTGTTAGCTTCCAGTTACGTCGAACTGTGACATCGCTGCGGAGGGAGAAATTAAGTCGTCCTCCATGCTGCGGTCCATCACTGTCCCGTGATGCAAGCACCAAAGCTTGGTCCTCTAAGCGAGGTGTACACAGGTACTTCCAGGAGTAATCTCCTACCAGCACTGGACTGTTGTCATTCACATCCAGGATATAGACAGTCACCAGGGTGGATGCAGACAGGGAGGAGTTTCCTAAGATGTAAAAAGATGCTAAAAAACCAAACTATTGTACACTAGACTTTTTAACATATGAACATCAGGTTTCCCCAGACATGAAGTAAGCCTTAAAGAAAAAAATAATTGACTATATCTATGCCTTGGAAACTGAGTCTGCCTTTAATCAAACCGTTGTGTTGCATACTCAATGATGGAAATGATCTTACGTCCATCCACTGCAATGACCTCCATGGTGTACGTGCTGTTCTCCTCCCTGTCCAAGGCCTGCACAGTCTTTAGCTCACCAGAATACTTCCCAATTGAAAAGTATTTCTTGGTGTCCCCTTGAAGAGAATATCTGTACCAGGAAACATCCATAGCTCTGTAAAATTGAAAACATGGAATTTCACACCCCTCCCAGCTTAAATTAGTTACCTTATTGGGTGAGAATCGGGGTCGTAACCTCGGATGGTGGCAATAACCCGTCCTGGTTCTTCCCCTTCTCTCACAGTCACCTCATAATGGCTTTGAGACAAGATCGGACCCTCGTTCACATCGTCAACATAAATGGAGACCGTTGCTGTGGATGCGGGGCCGTACCGGCCACGGACTAAAGCAACTGGATTCTGGGCACTGAGCACGAGAATGTACTCACTCTCGCGCTCAAAGTCCAACACCTGTGAAAAGATGCGTGCACACAACAAGTTTCACAAAGTGTTATTTAAGTATTACTTAATTTAACTCACAACAGTGCATTTGACAACTACCTACACAATAGAAGAAGCAGAATTTGCAAAGTACTGTGTAAACAAAACTTCACAGAAAGAGAAAGCAATAAACACAATCACATTCAGAGTGAGCGGAAAGCCAACTTCAGATCATTAAGAAAGAAATCAAGAATATTGATTACTGGATGAAGCATGGCAGCAATACAGGTAAATGCAAGGAGAAAGAAGAGATAGACATATTTGTGTGGTCTATCCTTTTCTGTATTGATTTACATGAAACAAATCAATGGCGAGGACTCTCTGTAAAGGTGTTTGTTCACTGCAGCTGCGTCACTCAAGCCCAAGTTTCTCAGTCACTTTTATAATAACTTTTCTGTTTAATAAGCTACATGCCGTTCATCCATCCATTTTCTTCTGCTTTTCTTCAGCTTATCCAGTTCAGGGTCGCTGGGGGTGCTGGAGCCAGGCCTAAGTGTCGTATGGTGTGACGCAGGCATTGATATATTTTAAAAGTATTAAGTGGTTTTTTTTTTCAGTTCCAGGTTGGTCCTTGAGATAAAACAGGCACTGCTGATGCTGTGCCCTACATTACTCTTTCATATGAGCCTAAATGTGATAAAAGTAGATTTATTTTTGAAGGTTCAAGTGTAACCACACTAAACAGAGAGTCAAAAAACAGCATGTCCTTTTTGCCAGCAGGAGAGGGACACAGTACACCCCCCTTGTGTGTCTAGTCCCCTTATCTTAGGCCCAAGGAAACTGGATTTACTGGCAGTGTTACTATATTTCTAGACAGTGTAGATACAGAGGAAAAAAAAACAATTGATTCAGTGAGCCACCAGTGAAAGATTTTCCATGATGCTGTTTGAGCAACTAGGGCATGACAGTGGAAAAGATAGTACATTATAAACTGAACACACTGCTTTATTGTTGAAGTTAAGACTTTCATTCTCTAAATTTATGAAAGGGGATAAAATTAATTTAATAATAATTTAAAAAAAACCCAAAAAACCTATCCATGAATATTAACAACTTTGTTTTATCCTCTGGGGTGACAGCATGTGCTATTTATAGGTCCAAATATTGGAAGTAGCAGTTTCACAGTGATAGGATTACCATAATCTGTGCACTAAAATAGTAACTTGAACCTTCTGACTCTGATTGTAGGATTCAAAAAATAGTTTCACAGTGGGATGATGAAAAGATGGGAAAAGACTGTGATTTTACAGATTTTAGAGGCAAAACAACCCAGCTGAAGGAAAAATGAATCCCATCCCTCAGTCTTTATTACAACTGGGCACAACTGATTTCATTCGGTGTAATCTTTTGAATCCTGCCCTGAAGCTTGTTTTTGTTGTCAGGATTTGCCAGTAAACATGTTTTCTTTTTTCCCCATAAAACAAGACATCGGCAAACTGGCACTGCCTGACATCATCCTGCTGAGTACACGTGTCTTTGTTACCAGGGAGAAAAAAACGCACACCTTGGAGAATAGATGAGTACTGCTGTTAACTGGAAGTGACACACCAAACTGCTCAGTGTGTGTCAGCGCATGAGAGCATGTGTATGGACCCTGGCGTTACTCACCTGATGATGCTACTCTTTTTTTGAATTAAGTGCCTTTACAGTAGCATCACGTTCTTGCTGTAAATAGTTATTAGCTTAAATTACAGTAATACACAATATTTAAACACCACCAAAATAAATATCCTCATATGTTTCACAAAAACATCAATGTCTACCACATTTGTGTATTTGTAATAATTTGATACACATATTGATATACATAAAACTGTAAAAGCAACAGTAGTGTATCTCTCTTCAAAACGTGATGGGTATCACCATTTAACTACACGTTTACACATCCGTTTATTTCTTCTGTCTTTACAGGCTAAACTCTTGAAGGGATAACAATGTTTACTAGATAGTTTTGATGCTATGCAGATAGCGAGATAGATTTTTAGTCTCTCTTGGTGTAAGAAAAATAGTGAGGCTGGTCAGAATGAACTGTTTTGCACACATACATACCTATACAATGCCCGGTCACTTTACTAGGTACACCTAATAGAGACGTCTGTCCAACTGCTCATTCACAGAAATAAATCAACCAAAAACTTCGCAGCAACTCAGTGCATTTGAGCATGTAGACATAGTTAAGACGACCTGCTGAAGTTCAAACTGAGCATCGGAATGGGAAAGAAAGGCAGTTTAAGTGACTTTGAATGTGGCATGATTGTTGGTGTAAGATGGGCTGGTCTGAGTAAACCAGTAGCTGCGGATCTACTGGGATTTTCCCACGCGACCAACTATAATGTTTACAGGGAATGGTCTGGAAAAGAGAAAAATCCAGTGAGCTCTCTGAGTGAAAATGACTTGTTGATGGCAGAGGTCAGAAGAAAATGGGCAAACTGTTTTGAGCTGATGGGAAGGCAAGAGTAACTCAGATACCCACTCGTTATAACCAAGGTATATGGAAGAGTATTTTGTTAAACCTTGAAGCAGATGGGCTACAGCAGCAGATCACAGTGAATGCCAACTGTGTCAGCTGAGACGAGGAAACTGAGGCTACAATCCCCACAGGCTCAACTGGATATGCTGTAGAAAATGAGAAAACATTGCCTGGTCTGATGAGTTTGGGTTTCTGCTGTACCATTCGACTGAACATGAACATGAAAGCATGGCTCCATCCTATTTTGTATCAACAGTTCAGGCTGCCGGTGGTGATGTAATGGTGTGTGGTGATATTTTCTTGGCACAATTTGGGCCCCTTAGTACTTCAGTGCTACAGCCTACCTGAGTATCGCTGCTGAAAATGTTTGCCCTTTTATGGCCACTGGTTTCTTGAACATAGCGTCGACTTCCCTTTACTCAATTGGCCCCCACAGTCACCAGATCTTACATCATGGATGCAGTACCAACAAATTTGCTGCAACTGTGTGATGCTGTCATGTCAATATGAACCAAAATTTACTTAAGGAATGCTTTCAGTGCCTTGTTGAATCTTTGTCGAGAAGAATTAAGACAATCCTGAAGGTCAAAGAAGGTCCAACCAGGTATTAGCTAATGATGTGGCCAGTGAGTGTATATATTTATGAAACCAATAACTCAAACCTCTGAAAGCCCAGTCTCACGTTCATTTCAACAGAAGTTCCAGTTTCTTTTACAGACTTTTTATGATTCATTTTTTCATTCAATGCGATGTCACCAATTTTTTCCACACTGATTTGATCCCATCACTTTTGCTTAGTTCGTTCACTCTCCAGCCTGTGTGGTAAAATGCCATTAGTATCTGCTCACATAATCTAATTATTCATTTGGCTTTGCAATTTCTAATAATGAAATCTCTCTGCTTTCTAGTGCTGACCTCACCCTGTAATCTGGTGAATTAAAGGATTTGCTTAAGTGCATTTTAATCCACTGGGGCTTTACTTGTGGAAGATTTAAGCTTTAATTTTTACTACGGTAAGCTAACTAATCTACAGTATCCTTTCTGGTGATGCAGCGTTCGCTATAGTGATATCTCACAAGGTCAACGTAAGAGCTACTCATAGAGACAGGAATTTAAACTGCATGACATCACTTTTGAAAACAAGCCATTGTCTGTTAAACTGAAATAATAGATCGAGATCCATTTTTAGCTTTTGGAAATGCTCTGCTTTATCTCAGAGGGGCCTGTGCAGCTCACAGTTCAATCACATTCATCAACTCCCACAAGAGGTTGAAAATAATAGACTGTCGCCTGCCTGGCCACTCACAGAGTGCAGACCATTAGAGTATAGACACACACAGACACCACATGCCTCCCTAAAATGCCCTGTAGGATTATAGGAGGCAGGCGAAGGGTGATGCACCCTGGGGACAGGAGAGATTACGCCAATGTCGTGCAGGACTCTTTTTATTTTAGGCATGCAGGACTAGAATTTTGACATTTCTGAAAATCCTTTTCCAACTGTCTTTCAATGCATAATATCTACATAGGGTGATATTAAAATCATGCATTTATAAAATGAGGTTAGTTTTCTGTGACTGTGAGTGAATAATCTCTTAGGACATGCACATGCTGCAAGGACAGATACAAGCAGCTATGCCAAAAATTGTCCTTGGCATTAATATCTGTGTCCCTAAGAGGAAATGATCTTTGTATTGTCTCTTCTCTCAAAACAGAAAAATTTTAAAAAAAAGGAGTTTCATTCAGACTGATGGACCTTGAATCATGTTTTTAGCTGATCTTGGTAGTCAAATGTATGAGTGTAGAGCTTCAGTGTAGTTGGTGTTGTTCACCTTCGACAGGACAAGTGTGACCTCATTGGTCTGCTTATCTGTCACTAATGAAAAGACGTCCTCTTCATCTCCAGACTCTAAACGGTAGTCCACCTGCCAGCTGTCTCCACCTCGAACATCTGCATCCCTCGCCAGCACAGCTGTCACTGTCGTACCCACCAGGGCATCCTCTGGGATGTGAAAGGGTCCGTACTGATGGCGAGAAAACACAGAGTGAATGATCACTAAGAAGAAAAAGACTATCTTTTAAAAAAGTGAAAAAGTGTATGGAAGCATTTTGCATTTTTAAAAAAAAGCAGATCTCAAATTTCTCAGCTCACACTAGTTTTCACTGACCTGACCCTCTTTAAGGAAAACCTCCCCTGCAGGAGTGCCTCTAGAATAGTTTTATAGGGGCGGCCATATAAAAAATATGGTGGCACACCAAAAACAGAAGTTTGACAGGGGCGCAACGAAGGGGGTGACGACGGGAAATCATGAGGGACATACAGATTGTTGGTTTTTTTTCTCTAGTATTGAGGCACCAGTTGTTGTGAATTGGTGTTACATAAATGAATCTGGCTTTGCAATAACAGCCCCAGCGAATGCTAAATAATGATAATGATTATTTATTTCTTGTCAAGGCCACTGCAGCTTTTGCCAGCAAGTTGTTGATGTTAAGATTGTGCGGTCACCAATAAATGCCAGTGATGACCGATTGCCCAATTTTCTATTGAGACGATGGGTGACTGCATGTGACAATATACATTTGCCCCCTCTTGCCCCCCTGGTGTGAGCTGACCTTTATTTGTGAACCTCTCTGTGTTTAGACAGCCGTTTAATCTGCCACTCCTGGATGTCCTCTAGAGAAGCAACCATGCCTGTGATCTGGCTGCCCCATCCACAGGGTTGCTGAACCCAGTCCTGTCACCACTCACCTCCCACATCACCTCCTATAGGGCTGCACTGCCATGGAAAAAGCTGCACTACTCAGGCGTGACCTGTTCAAGAGCATTTTCCACCTCTGTGTTTGTGTGTCTGTGGTAGCGATTATCTAAGCAAGTGTGCATTTGTTTTTAACAGCATTGTAATGATCATCCAACAATGTTTGAAAGCTGTTTGATTAAAATCCCTAAGTGTCCATTACACTGGGCGTGGATGTAAAGAATAACACGGTGTCAGGTGTTATGTCAAATCTTTGATTGATCTGGACATTGATGTCAAAGCTCTGCAGTCGATTGGTTTCTGTCCCTGACCAAAATTAAACCTTCTTTCATAGAAAACCACTGGCCAATTACACAGTGGGCCTGGAGCTGCATTATTTATGATGCCATCCTCACAGAACTTTCTGTGAGATTGTAATGGCTAAGATAACACTGCTTCTTATACAATTTCTGCCATGTTAACGACACTGGATGGAGCTGTGTAATCGTGATGTAGCCTGCTGTAGATTGACCTATAAATAAATGAGTGGAAATTTGTCTCTAAAGAAAGCTTTATCAGATTAAACTCTAAAAACACTGTCCACTTGGAATACAGAGAGCCAAATAAAAGTCTTCCAATAACATAATGCCATCTATATAAGCCTGAGATTAGTATCATATTTAGTTCCCTGCCAGGAAAATTAGATCAGTGACCTGCGAAGCGCGTTCACAGTCCAAAATCCACAGATGATGTTTAGCCTGCTATTTTTCCAAAGCTATTGTTTATATTGCCCCAAACAGATCAATGCGTGAAAGGCGTCCTAATCTCTGTGCGCAAGTAACTGTTTGAACACGTGTTCTCGTACCTCGTGTTGGGAGAACACCGGTGGGTTGTTATTCTCATCCTGCACCGTCACAACCACAGTGCAGGAACTGTTCAGACCTGCCAGGGACAGGATCACAGCTTCTGTTAGTGACTCAGGTCAGCCCTTCTCACAAATTAAGAATGCTGAAGGAACAGCAAGTACCTCATGTTAGCCTTCGTCACACCCTGAGTCCATGAGTCATGCAGATCACATCATCTGTCACCCTAGAGGCTAACATATATACGTCTCCTGGAAATCTCAAGGGAGGCTACTGACACACTTGCTCACAAAAGTAATTAACTTTTGCCTATTATAGTCATTATGAAAGATGAAATGTTTTCTATATAATTGTCTCTGATGCACCTGTTTGTATCACTGTTATACTGCCTCTCTTTAACTCCCTAAAGTACAAGATAAACACCACCTTTTCATGAAAATTGCGCTATAGCTAAGGTTGTATTTTGCCTTATACATAGTCACCTTTGGCATCCTCAGCAGTGATGGTTAGAGTGTACTGCGGTGCCGTGCCCTCCATACTATCCGCTTGGACCGAGATGACCCCTGAGTCACGGTCCACTCTGAAGAGGGCACGAGGACTCTCTGGAATTTGTCCGACTAAGCGGTAGAAGATTCGTACATTGTCTGTCTTAGGGTCATCATTATCAGCCGCTTGCACTGTCAGGATTTCTGTCCCTGCACGAAAAAATATATGAATAAAGAGGAGGAGGAGGCTTTCTGATTTATCATCAGAAGATATTTTCAGTTAGCTCTATAAAAAAGGGTTTTCTACACTGTTTAAAAAAATGTAAAAAAAAAATGAAACAAAAAACCCATGTTTGTTTTGTTTTGTTTTTTTAACCACAAATAGAATTTGACCATTTTACCATTTTGAAAATTATCTTTACATTTTATGTTTAAAAAATATGTATAATGCATATACAATATATACATTATTATGTACATGCTCTTTTTCTTTGGCAAATTTCAAATCTTTTTCAAGTTTGACTTCTCCTTTTCTCTCTTTTAACTCTTTTGTCAAGTAATAACAAGAGAAGCTAAAATGACAAGTCTCACAGCACACTGATTTAAAATAGGGAGAGAGTACAACAATAGCTTTCTCATATAATCCTCACTCAGTGATTCCATTTAGATTAACAGATTGCCCTGTGTAATTCATTTCCCCGAATCAGAATGTTTTAAAGCACCAACAAAAGCTTTTATGCCAAGGACCTGATACGTTATAACCCACCGTGTGCTTTTTAGGAGCACAGGAGGGGTGTTGGTGTTTCCCCTGTGTCCTGGCAAAGATCCCAATCTGCTTTCACAAAATGTATCTGGCGCTCTCCACCCTTTCATCACAACAACATTGCATCCAGGCTGTGTTTTTGCACTAAGCTGTGAAACAGTATAAAATAATTCTAGAAAATGACTATTCAAATTCACTATGTTGCTTTATTATCATCATAATTTGTAAGACGAGTTTCTTTTAAAGATGTTTTACATACAAGATTGTATTTTGGCCAAAGAAATAGTATTGTTCTTCCTTGGTGTGTGGTCTCAAAGCACACAGCCTGTGTGATGCAGTATCTAAATATTCCACTGTAATCTGATTAGTAGGACTTGCATGAGTGAAAACAAACAAACAAACAAACAAAAAAATCATCCAAAACCTATATGTTACCTCGAGCAGCCAGTTCTTTCACCACAGTATGGTACTGTGCCTGTGGAAATGTGGGCCTGTTATCATTAGCGTCACCCACCATCACCCTCAGCTCCACAGGTTTGGCAATCTCCCTACCGTCGGGACGCTCAACCACAATGCTGATATGAAACTAAGTAAGCAGAAAAGGTGAAAAAAGAAGAAAAAGCAGAGAGGGAAATATCTGGTCACATGTGGTACCCTTAACACTGTGGCTTAAGAGTCACGCAACCCATGCTCCCATTAACTTTCTAGCAGCAGACCAAAAAAAGGGATTACATGCCCAGTAGACTACTAACGACTGTAAAGTCTTCCTCTGTGCAGAGCATGATAGGATACATTTCTGCAATACGAGTAAACATTTACTTTTTGATCCTGGTTATACTCACGGATTTTGTTGAGATTCTGGTTTCCTAGTTTCTGTCTCATCTCATATCAGCCAATTTTTGCACATTTCCAGCTCAACCATTTCAGATTTGTGTAAGAATGTTATGGTCCAGTGAACATATACAATGAGTGCTATGAATTTTTTTTTCTTGCTTGAAGAAAGCAAAGGGAACTGAAGTCATATTCAATGTCTGTGTGCACAAATAAAAGATGATTCTGATTCTCATTCAAATGGCTTTTTGGGTTTTTTTTGAAATAAAAAATGTAATCGGGGGCTTTTTAGGAACCACGTGAAAGCAGGTGTGCTCAGACATTTCTAGAAAATGGCCCTGTTGAGTCGCGGTGCGGGAGCTGCGGTAGTCATACAATTGAAAATGTAAGTTAAAACAACAGTAACCAAAAGTTCAAACTACATAAAATATTAATTAGGAAATGCTGAAATGCTTGGCACATTTAACCAACACCATTACAATTATTTGTTTTTGTCACGGTCTGCAGAGGCAGGCCGTGCGGTGGTGTGTGTAATGGACCCAGGAGCGTACACAAGTGAGTAGACGGGAGTGAGTTTAACAGAAAGCGAGCCTTTAATATGACTGAAGACCAGGAATACAAACACAGCAGGGATAGCGTGGCTGAACTATAACTAAACTGGGAAAACTAATACTGTGACAAACTAAGAGAACTCTGAGACGAAGATGATCACAAAAGACTGATCGTGAAAACATGGGGGTGAGAACACAGACGACGCGACACAGACTACATGAAACACAGAGACTAAATACACAAGAGGGATGATCAGGGGAAGTGGCCACACATGGGAACACAGCTGACACAGATAAACATAACAAGACATGGCAGGAGTAAACAACACTGACGGGAGACTGTCAAAGTAAAACAGGAAGTACACAGGTGCAAACAGGAGGAGAGAGAGAGCGCGGGCATAGTGGGCTGGGGAAACATGGAATGAAACAAGGAGGGACGAGGGCTCACAGATACACAGAGGGGCACACAGGGGGTAAAAGCCATGAAGGGAAAACACCTAGGGAACAACACAACAGGGCAACTCAGAAAACATGGCCTAAATAGGGAACTGAAATACAAAGATACATAAAACTAAGAATACTGGGCCAACATGGCCCAGGACCATGACAGTACCCCCCCCCACAAGGGCTGGCTCCAGACAGCCCAAACACAGGAAAACCAAACCAAACAGAAAACGACCCAGGGCGGGCGGCGGGGGCCCAGGACGGAGGGCCCGGAACAGGAAACAAAACAACTAGAAAACACAGGAGCACAAGACCAAAGTTCAAAGAGAGTTCAGGGGGCCGACCCAGAGCCCACAGGCACAAGAGTTCACGGGTCACACGGTCGGGGGGCCGACCAGGCGGGTGGCACAGGTGACAGAGCTGGTCCGGAGGCCGACCGCACGGAAGGCAGCGGCGGCGGCGAAGGAGACGACGACGGAGCAGTTCAGGGGGCCGACCGCGCGGAAGGCAGCGGCGGCGGCGAAGGAGACGACGGAGCAGTTCAGGGGGCCGGCCGCGCGGAAGGCAGCGGCGGCTCTCCAGTCTCAGGCGTGTAGGCCGAGGCCCGGTGGGCCTAGGACCAGACGAGGCAGGACCAGACGAGGCAGGACCAGACGAGGCAGGACCAGACGGTGGCGATGCGGGGGCCGGACCAGGCGAAGCACAGCTGAAGCAGGACCAGCGAGGCGAAGACTCGGAGGCTGGACCAGACGAGGACGAAGACTCGGATGCAGCGGACCAGACGAGGACGAAGACTCGGATGCAGCCGGACCAGACGAGGACGAAGACTCGGAGGCTGGCAGCGCTCGGATCAGCTAGAGACGAAGCACAGGCTGGAGCTGCGAGCAGACGAAGCACAGGCTGGAGCTGCGGCAGCGAAGCACGGAGGCTGGAGCTGCGGCAGAGAAGGCACTGAGGCTGGGCTGCAGCAGACGAAGGCTCTGAGGCTGCAGCAGACGAAGGCTCTGAGGCTGCAGCAGACGAAGGCTCTGAGGCTGCAGCAGACGAAGGCTCTGAGGCTGCAGCAGACGAAGGCTAGAGGCTGCAGCAGACGAAGGCTCAGAGGCTGCAGCAGACGAAGTAGGGCTGCGAGATGGGGAGCTCCTCGGGCCCTCCAGCGGAGACAGGAGGCTGAACGGGCCCCTCGGACCCTCCAGCGGAGACAGGAGGCTGAACGGGCCCCTCGGACCCTCCAGCGGAGACAGGAGGCTGAACGGGCCCCTGGACCCTCCAGCTGACGAGGCGTGAGGCTGGTGTGGTTCTCTCGGAACCACCAGCTGACGAGGAAGGCTGCTGGACGGGCTCCTCGGGCCCTCCAGCTGACGTGGCATGGTGCTGGACGGGCGGTCTCGGCCCCCAGCATGACGTGGCATGGTGCTGGACGGGCTCCTCGGGCCCCCAGCTGAACGTGGCATCTGAGGAGGCCCTGGGGTGAGTCTTAAGCTCAGAAGCGACTGGTGAGGCAGCACATAGAACACTGTTAGCATGACAAGCTTTGAAAACATAATTTCTCAGGTCATGAACACTTTCGGTAACTCGAGTAGTAGATGCCAACTCCCTGTCGGTATTGTCAACACAATAGTTCATGGTAGGATTGCACATAAGTCCGTAGCTGGATTCAGAGTCACATAAAGAGGCAGGCATGCTTATGGCTGGCCTAACAGTCTGCGACTGAGAAGCAGTAGCATCAGAGCTCACGTTCCTGTGCATTTGGTCTTGAGCACTGTCTGCAATCCCACCATCAGGGAATACGGTACTAGACTCCACTACAGATCTGCACGCGGGGGTAACACTCCGTCTCGGCTGTACGAGTTGGCTGCGGTAGATAACAGTCTGAGGCGGAGAGAAAGCTCACGCCATTCCTAGCAGGCTCAGAAGCAGACTGTACAGTCGACGTGTGAATCCCTTTCGCTGTCTCATGAACCTTGGCTCCATGTGGTGCGGCTATGGGAGCAACACTAGAAAAAGTCCTGGATTCTACAGGGTCAAGAACGTTGTCTGTGGTTTCGTTGTGTGGTTTTTCAAAACAGTTACACACAGTCCTTTCATTATCACAACACTCTCTGACTGGCCCTCAGTTATAACTAGAGTTAGGTCAGTCACAGCATGGGTGTCTATGAAATCATGATTAATGGTAGAGCAGTCTTTGGCACCAGTTTCTTCATAGCTGGGCCCACAAAAGGGCAACCCAGTACACTCCACTATATCAGGCTCATGAGATGAAAAAGCACAGTCACTCACCTCCGTTATAAGAGGAGTCTGGGACAGAACTAGGACGGGTGCTGACTGGACAGCTGCTGCCCCCACCTCTTCAGAGACTTCAGCACAGTACAAACAGTCTGTAGTTGCTCCTTGAGGAAAGCTAGGCAGTCTCTCTTCAGACTCGGTAGATGGTTCACGCAAAGCTTCAAACCTGGCATGAGGTGGCTTGGTAATCGTTAAATTGTCAGAGGTAATAGGATTTAATTCTTGATCACCCACACAACTAGGACTGCTCGCTAAGGATGTCAACACATTAAATCGAAAGTCGTATGATACAGAATACTTTGAGTCTGAACCTTTACTCCCAGCATCTTTCATTATTTCAGAAAAACCCACCGACTGCAGGTTCACTGTGTGAGACGTAACGTCCTCATCACTAGTTACCTCAGAAAATCCCTTTGACTTGAGGTCTTTGGCTAAGGGGCTAGATACGACGTCAGAAACTGAGTCAGGGGTACTCACGGCTGGATGGCTGATGGGAGTTAAAGCCTCAGATGGCATTAACTGAGGGACCTCCTTAGGGTGGGGCTCAGAGCGCCGGCGGCGAGAGTGCCGCTTCTTTCTATCCGTAGAAGCGGGCGGGGTGAGCGGTGGAAGTCCCTGGCAACTCCGGGGACCCCCAAGAGCCAGTCGAGTTCCCCGGAAAGAGCGCTCATCACGATCAGGGGCGAGCCACGGCTCCCTCCCGAACTCTTCCTCTAGCTGTATGTACGCGGCGTGCTGCTGCTCCTCGAGATCGACATCCAGGACCCCCACAGCATCCCCGTGATGCTCCGTGGAGGGCGAGGCGGGACGTAGCGGTGCGCGACGGCGGCGAGAATGCCGCTTTTTCCTTGAAGCGGCTGTGGACAAAACCTGACTCTCCATAGCGGCCGGCTCCTCGTCCTCCAACCACATCCGTGCCAGAAACACAGCAGGAGACGAGTAGTCCGATCGAGGCGGCGAGGGCGGGCGGCAGGTGCGAGGCGGGGCGGTTGGCGAGAACTCCTCCTCGGGGATGAGCCAGGGCTTCCAACGGAGCTCGTCCTCGCGATACGCCCGTAATACCTGTTGCCGCTCCTCCTCGCCGAAGTCAATAGCAGCTGGCATCTCCTTGATCCGCGTAGTGCAGTCAGGCGGTGACGAGGATGTGGAAGCCGATGGAGCGTGAGCCGAGGGTGTGGCGGCGGTGAGCCTCACCGTACCGACTCTGACAGCTTCTGGCTCACGAGGCAGCGGGGAAACTGAGCTACCGCATGACTCTGGCGACGGCTCACGCACACAGGACCGCTGCAGTTGCGGGCGGAGTTGGAGAGAGGAAACGAGAAAGTCAATGACGAGGGGATGCAGCGCCTCCCATAACCAAGGGAATACGGACACGCATACCCCTACTTGGCGGGCTAACTCGTTCCGTTCCTCCTCTCGGGAGCACCGCAACCACTTGCCGCATAGCGACTCCACTGTCCGGATGATCTCCCGT